TTTGGTGAAAAAGAGTCAGTGGGGGGTAAGTGGGGGTAGGGGACCCGCCACCTACCCGCGGCCAAAAAAAGGAGCTCCGGCAGCGGGCAGCTGCCCGGAACAGTAAATACCGGCGGGCAGCCGGCGGGTGACCCCCACCCACCGGCCACCCGCTGGTTTGTACCCCACATCGGGATCCCGGCTTCCCCGTTTGATGTTCCCCGACCCCCGTGGTGTCCCAACGGACTCCGTCTATCGTGCCTATGTCTAGTTTGATTTTCGGGTACCGTTCGTAGGTCGTATGAGTCTTATATATTGCATGCTAGTTGAATTGGTATCCCGTTGACCTAGGTGAAAGAAGTATGAACCCCTTAGGACTATTCTTAGAATGTGAAGGATCACGCATAGGTTTGTTATACGTTTTCTCCCCCTTCCCAATGTGTTAATGTGGGTTGCATGTGCTTGTTATGTGTTATGTGTGCATGTTACCTCGATTTGGTTGAGATCAATCGGGCTATACGGGCAGTCGGGTGGGCTGAGAACCATACCGGCTGTTAACCAGGCTGGTAGAGACTGGTCAGGTATATAAATACTATATAGGACTAAGGTCCACTATACGGGCAGTTGAATGGGTTGAGAACCATCCCAACTGTTAACCAGGCTAGTAGAGACCGGTCAGATATACAAATATTATATAGGACAAAGGTCCACTATACGGGCAGTTGAATGGGTTGAGAACCATCCCAACTGTTAACCAGGCTGGTAAAGACCGGTCAGGTATATAAAGATTATATAGAGCTGCGGCTCATCGGTTGGTTGCGATCGACCCCTCCGTAGTGTGAGACGGGGCAGGGTGCTGCGGGGCCGTGTCAGAGCTATATGCGCTGACCCTCATGTATGGGCATGCGATTGGTCCTGTGGCGCCAACAAAGTGTGCTATGTGATGAACTATGGATGAGTTGTTGTTATGAGTATCTTGTGGATGAGACTATGGGATTTGTACCGGGGATCGTATGTGTTGGGTTGTGATTATTAACTGTGCTTATCTTATCTGTCTTGCCTGTTGTAAACTGTATATGCTCGGTATAACTGCTGTATGTGCTTAGCCCTATCTGTTGAGTCTATCCCTGTTTTAAAAGCTAGAGTTCGTAGGATATATCTTCATGTTCAAAATGGTTTTCGTATATCTATATATATATATATATATATATATATATATATATATATATATATATATATATATATATATATATATATATATATATATATATATATATATATATATATATATATATATATATATGTATTGTACTTCAACGCGTTGGAGTGGGTTACCAGCATCTCTCGCTGAACAGATATATTTGGCTTTCAGGCACAGAAGAGTAAGTCACTGGAGCGTGCTAGAACTTGGAGCGTAGAAGTAGATAGTTCTTTGGGCTTGCGTGCCATGTTTATGCTTTGAGGATATTAGTCAGTTAGCCTGTGCACTTGAGTTCTCTAGCTTAGGTGTGGCATAGCACCCCGTACTCTTGTATTATGCTTTGGGATTTAATGAGATTTCACCTTTACTTTATAAGTTTTAAATATCTTGAAAATCTGGGGTGTTACAGGGGGAATCCGGGCCTCTTCAGTGTGGATACCTTCAGTCGCGTGTGACCAGAAGTCAGAACGATGACCTTCTGCAACCTTTTGAGCCTGAGGAGGTGCGGTGTGCTTTGTTTGCAATGGGAAATGACAAATCGCCAGGGCCGGATGGCATGAATCCAGGCTTCTATAAGTAATTCTGGAATGTTATTGGTAAGGATTTAACTGATTTTGTTCTTAATTGTCTATCTCAATCGTCTTTCCCTCCTAATTTGAATGATTCCAATATTGCCTTGATCCCTAAGAAATGTGCTCCTGAGTCTGTGTCTGATTTGAGGCCAATTGCTTTATGTAATGTTATATATAAGATTATGGCCAAAATGATAGTGAACCGAATGAAGCCGTTGTTAGAGGGAATAATTTCATATTCTCAGAGTGCCTTCCTCCCGGGCAGGTTGATTTTAGATAATATCCTTATTGCTTCCAAGGTTGGCCACTATTTAAGGAGAAAACAATTGGGGCAGGTTGGGTGGGCAGCCCTTAAGCTGGATATGGCTAAGGCGTATGACAGGATGGAGTGGCCTTTTGTAAGGCAAATGCTGCTGGGGTTGGGGTTTGATGAGAGATGGGTCCAACTAGTAATGTTGTGTGTCTAGACGGTGCGTGTAACACCCCAGTTTTCTAACTCTTAATTACATCTCTAAACAGTCATTAACATAACTAAGCCGCGGAAAACTAAAAGATAAATAGTTGGAGTGTCACCGCCACAACCACCACTCTTTGGTGATTGCACAGGCTAAAAGGGGTAAAACTTGAAATAAGATTAAGTCTGGGTACTAAAAATAAATACTGGAAACGTAAGGGGGAAAAACGTCACCCCAAATAGTTTACATCAATCCTCAAACATAAAGTCGATAAGATTAAAATCCATACATAGAATCAATAAAACTAGAGTTTAGACATCTCTATCTACGAGACTAATCTAACTCAACTTCTTCACACTGCTGGGCCCACCTGAAAGGGGTTTTGCAAGCAACACATAGACAAATAGGAAAACACCCGTTAGCACGAAGCTAAGTATAACCACACTCAACCCTGTATAGAATTCTAGCATATACTTTGAAAACATTTGATATCTTTATAGCAATAAGCTAATCTCAAATCATCTTAAGATTTATCACATTCTTTCTAGATGCTTGCACCCTATAATATCAGCTGGCATGCTTATGTATGTACAAGACTGTTCACATAGATTCAACAGCTTATAAACTTCTCAGATATCTTAACAAGCAACTCATGCTTACGGATTTAATCATGTTAAAAGACCATATAACAGGTGTTTACATGCTTTCACATTCTTATCACATAACTTGATAAGTAGAGCTTCTAATACAACATGATAATCATGCTCAAAGGAATATCTTAAATCAAACTTCTCGTTATGCAATCTCTTATGATGCTCTATTCGCATGCAATCACGTATAACATTATGATCATACTTCTTATGGAATCTAATGCAATAATATATTCATACTCATATGCATTCTCATGCAATTATATAATCATAATCTTATGCAATCTAGTGCAACAATATACCCACACTCATATGCAATCTCGTGCTGCAATATAATCACACACTTATGCAATCTAGTGCAATAATATAATCATACTCTTATGCAATCTAGTGCAACAATATAATCATACTCTTATGCAATCTAGTGCAACAATATACTCATACTCATATGCAATCTCGTGCAACAATATGATCATACTCTTATGCAATCTAGTGCAACAATATACTCATACTCATATGCAATCTAGTGCAATAATATACTCATACACTCTTTTATAAATTAGAGTAATTTCTGTGGAGGTCTCTTTGTTACTTTCTCGAGTCTCTCTTGACTCTCTTTCTTTCTCTCGAGTCTTTATTGAGTCTCTATTGACTCTCTTTCTTGAGTCTCTGTTGACTCTCTATCTTTCTCTTATACTCGTAGACAGCTTAGGGTTTCACAGAAGTGTGAATTACCCCATCGGGAACGACATAATTCCGACCCAATATCTCCTACCGTCTACGGAACCAATCTCGTGGTTCAAACTCTGTGGAATCAGGTATCGAACTATTAGTGTGCACACCCCCTAACCAGGATTCCGAGCCTGACGGGAAGTTTCCAACCTCGTAACGTGGGAATACGCCGCGTTACATATACTGGGACCGCAATGTCCATAAATATCTCCAGAGAGGAATATAGTCCAAACGGTATCCACCAAAACCTCACCAATATAGATAATACATAAATATATCTCTCATGCATCAATCTCATGCATGCAACAATTCTACTACTTCTCAATGCATCAAAGAATGCTATACCGCATGCTTATGATTTTTGAAAGTATTCTTGGGCTCACGTTGGTCCCTTATGCATTTCTGAAATATGACTCATGTGAAATGTCAAAATGCTCTATAACATGCTTCTAAATCATGTATAAACTAGAATGAAGTATTCAAGAATATAACATCATGCTCGGTTTGCAACATAGCAATTTCTATATAAATCACTCAACAAACTATGCTTCGTTTCTCATTGATCAAATATCACAATTTAGTCATGCTTTCATAATAAATCATATTCTCAAATGATCATGCTTCTATACTCAATAAAAACATTATCAGATCACATAATCAAATATTTCTCATACACAGTGAACTAAGCAAATATGTACTCTGTGTAACAATTCTTCACAAAATACCTTCATAACATACTCGTTTCTAATCCGAATTCAACGAAGTCAAAACCAAAACGTGCATCGAGACGGTCCCGCAGAGCCGAGCCACAAGGGCCCATAACACTCGGTTCGAAATGACACGTAGCTGAGCCACAAGGGCCCGGCCACTGCACAAAATCCTTCACAGATTAAACTCAAGGACTGGGGCGGGACTCTTCGTGGTCCGCCCCTTGAGCCCCGTTAAAGCACCGGGACTAGGCAACTACCCTCCTCTAGGGCCGTGCCCTAGTCCCGTGCCATCACGGCTCTAGCCGGCAGCCCTTCTAATGGGCCGCAGCTAGGGCCCCCCTCTGATCTGGTGCACATTGTGTTGTGCACCAGATGATATTTCTTCTGCAAAAAATCATCCAAACAAGTCCAAAAAAATCTCAACAACTCACAAACACATACTAAATCACTTCTAAGCATGAACATATCAAAAACTCATAGTTTCTACTCATTTCTATTCATAACTAAGGCTTCACAGAGCCAAAATTTAAAGAGGAATCCATGGAGTTATACCTCTTGTAGTCTAATCTTCTTGCTTAGATCTCTTCTTCCTCCCTACCTAGCTTGAGCCTCCTTCACCACCTATACTTCCCAAACACACCATATAACCTTAGCCTAGAACGTCAAAGACTAAAGGAACTAGAAGAGAATAGAGGCTAGGAATGAAGGATGAACAAGCTTACTGTTATGTTGTTTCTCTTCTTGTTCTTGGCAGACAAAATGGTGAGGAAGAGGCAAAGATTGAGATCAGGGAATCAAGATGGAATAAGGTGGTTTATATAGGGTTCAAAACCCTAGGATGATTCACAATGATTGGTTTAGGGCAAAGGGGTAATTCCACAAGCTAAAAGATGAATCAAGAAGGGATTTCGGGTGTCTTGTGATCCACCATGTAACATGAACCATAGGCTAGAAATGCTATCTTTTATTACTTTGGGGTTGAAAGTGAATTTTCCCAAAATCTATTTAGATGAACACTTGTTCAAAAATCCTTTGTGAATTCTCCTAGTCTCACTTAGATAAAATTCACGATTTAAATCTTGGTACGCGAAGTAGCCGAAAACTTAGAAATTTTTCGAATAGAATTCATTTCTTCGGTGTCGAATTAATTTTAAAATGCGACAAAATTATTTTATTCAAAAACCGATTGATCGCAAAAATTTTAATGGACTGAAAAAGCTACTTTGGGATTTCTTAATACTGGATTTATAAAATGAAATTTTGAATTGTTACAGTGCGTTATAAGGTGTTGGTGAATGGTAGGCCAACTGAGGAGATTGTTCCATCCCGGGGTCTTAGACAGGGTGATCCTCTGTCCCCTTATCTTTTTATAATCTGTGCGGAAGGGTTATCTTTGCTATTACAGGTCTCCCAGGCTAAAGGTCTGATTCATGGGTGCAGGGTGGCCTATTTCACATTTATTCTTTGTAGATGACAGTCTGCTTTTCTTTAAAGCTAATCTGCAGGAAACTATGGAGGTGAAGAGATGCCTAGGAGTCTACGAGGCCTACTCTGGACAAGCGGTCAATCTTAGTAAGTCAAGTGTTTCGTTCAGCCGTAATACCCTGGGAGACGTGAAGGGGTTCATTGCAGGAACCCTGGGGGTTGGCCTAGCAGATGATTTTGGTAAGTACCTGGGTTTGCCATCTGTTATTGGAAGAAATAGAAAGGTACTTATATCGAGTAGAAGCTTAAGAAAAGGGTTGGTTCCTGGAATAAGAGATTGTTATCCAGAGCAGGGAAGGAGGTTCTATTGAAGAGCGTAGCTCAGGTTATGCCCACTTATACGATGAGTATTTTTCTGCTAACTAAGACTTTGTGTGCCTCTCTTGAAAGATTAATGAACAGGTACTGGTGGGGGCGGAATGACAGGGAGGATGGTATTCACTGGTTTGCCTGGGACAGGATGTGCACTCCCAAAAAGTTTGGGGGTTTGGGTTTTAAGCGTTTACATGAGTTTAATTTGGCTTTGTTGGGCAAGCAGGGGTGGCGGCTTCTTACAAACCCCGACTCTCTTGTTGCACGGGTTTTTAAGGAAAGATATTTTCCTGCAACTACCTTCTACGATGCTACCTTAGGGGGAAATTCGAGTTATGTTTGGAGAAGCATTATGGCTAGTCAGGGTCTTTTGAATCAGGGAGTAGACGATGAATTGGAAATGGCAGAACGACTCAGGTTTGGTCTCATCCTTGGTTACCTGTACCTCAGGAACCTTTTGTGAGTACGGGCCAGTCTATTACCAACCAAAATCTATCGGTAACAGATCTCATTGACAGTGTCATGAATACGTGGAATTCTCCCCTTGTTCAGCAATTGTTTGACCCGCATGAAGCCTCTCTAATCACGCAGTTGCCCATCAATGTAAACTTCGAAGACATGTGGTTTTGGGATGGAGATTTGAGGGGATGCTATTCGGTCAAGGACGGGTATAGAAGTCTAGGGGAATTAAATGCCCCTGGTTCTTTGGTATGGAATAACATCTGGAAGCTTCACATCCCACCTAAATGGAAGAATTTTATGTGGAGAGCCCTCTCTAATATTTTGCCCACACTCGACAATCTAATTAGGAGGAGGGTGGACCTTATGAATGTTTGCCCGGCTTGCGGGATGAATGAGGAAAATATCATGCATATTTTATGTTCATGTACATATGCTACTCATGTTTGGGTTGTTTCGCAGCTTCCGTTACCCCTATTAACGGTAATAATTTTATGCATTGGGCAGAGGAGTGGCTGGACTGTACCGCCGGCTTCTCTCGTGACTCTCAGGGACAGCTTTGCGGTTTGCCACACGAGATTTGGGCGGCAAGGAATATGGCGGTGTGGGATGGTCAGCTGCCAACCCCTCAGGCTCTGTAACGTGCCTTTGCAGCGAAATGGACAACTTGGATCAGCAGCAACGCAAAGCAGGCTTCTTCGCAGTTGCACCAGCCGGTGTCAGTGCCACACGCGGGACTAACCTGTTTTGTTGACGCTGGTTTCCATGGTTCCAGTCATGCAACGGCCTATGGTTTCATTGTGCGGGACGATGCGATGTTTGTTGCAGCGGTGAATGGCCCTATGTCATGCCCGTATGACCCACTCATGGCGGAGGCGATGGCGATGGCGATGTGTGAAGCTCTCTCATGGCTCAAGGACAATGGCTACACATCGGTTAAAGTTTACACGGATAGTTCTGTCTTCGTATCAAGTCTTAGTAAGGCTAGTTCTTTCCGGTCTTATGTTGGTTTTACTTTAGTCTCTTATTTACATTTACTTACATCTATGCCTGGTTCTCATATTGGTTATGTTAGTAGGGATGAGAATCGAGCGACTCACATCTTAGCTAAGCATGTAAGTGCGAGTATCGCACGTTCTACTTGAAGGGATGTTCCCCCTCCCTTTGTTCTGCCTGTTTTGGCTAATGCAATCTAGTTTGTCCTGGTTTTCAAAAAAAAGTTTCGATCTTGACATAATTACACAAATCTATTTAAATATATTAAATTGACAATAAATTTTAAAATTTTGGCAAAATGAAAACTGTCAATATAATATATTTAGTATTTGATGATATTTCTATTTAATTATATGGAATTATTGTATGTTTAAAAAAAAAAAACGTCCAATTACACTTTCACTAGAAATAAGATGTCATATTTAATTCTTTACCCTTTCTTATATTATGAAAATGAAAGTACTCAGTAAAGGCACAAATTAAAATACTTAACAGAGGCAGTGAGGTGGATTTTAACTTTTCGCTATAAGACTAAAGTAGCGATATTAAAATTATAAAAATGTATATTTTACTATGCCGTAATTTTATAAAAAGTGGCAATTAGATTTTGACTTTTAGAGTCAAATAAAAAAGGTAATTGTTCTTCCGGAAAATAACAACAACAATAATCGACCTCTGGCCGACTCAGTCCTTGGCCGGCGATCTCATACTTTCGTAGTTTCTTTTTATTTTGTTTTTTAGTTTCACAACTTTCACCACCTGATCTAATCAAGAAGTCCCTCACCATTGTCAATGTTTATTTTTCAACAAAAAAAAGGGAAAAAAGAAGGTTGTGTTAGTTTTCTTTTCTTGAATCTAGGTAAGGAAGGCTTTGAGTTCTGAAAAAAGACAAGAAGTTCTGTGCTTTAATCAAGGACAAGAAGGCATAGTGTTTTCTTGATAGAAGAAGGCGCGGAGTTATGTTTTTTATCTAAAGATCTGTGTTTTTCACTTTTTCATCAGTTATTTTGACAAGTTATTTCCTCTCGCTTCTTTGGCGAGTTATTCCCTCTCGTTTCTTTGGTGAGTTCTTTTTTCATTAAGGTGAAACGATTTAATTGATCATGGCGTATGTTTATCTCATCCTGAGCAACGAGAAAGATCTGAACCATGATATGCAGTTCAGATTAATGAAGATATTGTCTATGGACATAAGGGCTACAATAGTTACTCAGGTGGTATGCAAGACTTCTCAAACAGAGTCAGTCTTGGATAGCCAGATCGTTAACAACATCAAAGAAGCTTCAGGTTCCTCCAATGAATTCAGCTTCAATCTTGTAACACAGTTTGCGATTCAAGTTTCTTTTAGCATTGCTAGCAAAGTTCTTTCTATATCTGACGGTAAAGAATGTTTTATCATTCTATGGATCTTTATTGTAACTGTTTCAACTTATAATTAATGAATTAGCTCTTTATTTTCAAAAAACAACAACAATAATAAAATAGTATGGGTGATAAAATGTAACATTATAAAATTATAAAAATGAGCTTTAGAGTCAAATAAATAGGGCGATTTCTCTTACTAAAAATACCATGGCTGGTAATAACAAATTAAGAAAGCAAATTTGTTGATTCACAAAGATTGCAAATTATACCATGGATCAGGGTCTATCTTATATTGTAGATCTTGGTCAAAAAATAACCTTCAAATTCTGTATTGATATGAAATTCAACACCAGGAGAAGTCAGGGAGCCAATTTCGAAGTCAAAGTCAACAATTCAAATTGGGAAGCAATTGAAAGCACCAGGAGTAGTTTGGGAGCCAATTGCAAGTCAAAGTCAATTGGGAGCCAATTACAATGGAGAAATTCAAATTGGGTGCCAATTACAAGCCAATTGAAATTGGGTGTCAATTACAAAGTAGAAATTCAAATTGGGTGGAAGTTCAAAGCCAGTTTGAAGTCTGAGAACACCCAGACGTGCGAATGAAGAAGATGAAGATGAACTTACAGTGAAAATATTCTCACAAGGAAAAATACTAGTTTTAACTAGTATGGGATTAAATTGATGAATATTTTTAAATCCCAAAGATACAAGAACCACTTCAGAGCTAATCAGAGAAGCCATTCTACACCTAGATACTCCCACTCAACGTAAAACCAGAGAAAATATCAGATGAAGTTTGCGGACCCATTTACATGGAGATGAAGCTCTAACAACGGCTAGCTTATCTCTTTCTGACATTTTTGCAGAAGATAAGATAAGATCTCTGACAAAAAGATACAAGATTTCAAAAATGAGAGCGTCTCTTTCCAACGGACAGATTCTCATTAGCAGCTATAAAATGATGAAGATATGAAGACTTGAAGATGGGGAACTCACGAACAAAAGAGCAGAAAATTCAAAACTCATCAAAGAGATCGAATAGAGCAATTAAGCTTGAAAGAGCATAGAGCAAAAATCTCATTTGGTACAGAGCATACCAAAAATCTTCAAGTGAGAAGTGAGAAAAGAAAAAGAACTCAGAGAGCTTCAAATAAAATATTCAGAGAGTTCAAAAAGCAGAGCAAAGCAGAGCAAAATATCAAGTGCTTTACTTGATATATTCAAAGAGAAAAAACACTCAGAGCTATCAAGAGAAATCATTCCAGAGTGTTTATCTTCATCAAAGAGACCTGCACATCATTGAAGATCATCCACAGTCTCAGAAGTTGGAAGCAAGACAACACTTGTTTTGGAGCAAAACAGGAGAAGGGAGGAAAGTAGCACGGAGCTGTGAAATCTTGGATTATCACACGGAGCTGTGAGATCCGAAGCAGCAGTGTCGGAGGCACTGGGCGTGATTGGTGTGGGCTTGGTGATCAAAGCACCAGATCACGGGATACGTTTCTACCGGAGTGTGGAAGACGGGGGGAAAGTAACGTGGAGTCGTGAAATCCTGGGATAGTAGCGCGGCGACGTGAAACCCGAAGCAGCAGTGTGGTGTCACTGGGCGTGATTAGTGCGGGCTTTGTGATCAAAGCACTAGATCACGGAAATTCATTGTATCTTGGAACCAAGAAGTGGTAGATATAGTGAATTGCTCTTGGAGATAAGAGCAAGTGGAGTAGGAGGATTACACCACCTCGCGAACCACTATAATTGTCTTGTGTTCTTTACTGCTTTCTTTACTTACCGCTCTTTACATATTCGCTCTACACGAGATATACTGCTCACACAATCTCACACACACTTTATGTTTATTTATTTCCGCTGTGCACCATACTCTAACAATCTAGTTAAGAGTTTTGGTTTATCTCTTGCTTAGCAATTGTTGTGCTGTGCGAAAAATTTTGAAAGTCTATTCACCCCCCCCCCCTCTAGACTTTCACCTTACCTCTTTTGGGACCAACAATTGGTATCAGAGCCTGTAGCCTATTTGAGTCAGTTTATACCAACCTTTGGTATTAAAACACGTTGCCCAACTGGGTTAACTGTTTTTGACTGCTAGGCTGATCCATTCTACAAAGTGTGTGAATTGGATTGATCTTTCATATCTCTCGTGATGATGATGAAGAAAGATTTAGCTCAAAATCTATTATTCTCACTTGATAAATTTGATGATTGGAAAGTTCGTATGCAGGTACACTTATCGGCCTTACACGATGAAATGTGGGAAGTTATTTCCACTGGCCCTATAGAAATATTAAAAGTCAATACGGCGTTTGTCCTATCCCCGGATGCTCCACAGTACGTACAAAAGCTAAAACCGGAATGGACATCGGACGATAGAACGCGGAATAATCTTGACAATATTGCCAAGGATATTCTATTCAAAGCCGTAGATGATACAATATTTCCGAAGATTCGAAAGTGTGCCACTGCCAAAGAAATATGGGAAACTCTCATCAAGATTGGCGAAGGAGATGAACAAGAAAAAGGCAATAAGCTCACAATCGCCATGAAGAAGTTTGAAGATTTCAAAATGCTCTCAAATGAAAGTGTTGCAGACATGGAAGCTTGAATGATCAAAGTTCTTGGAGAGATTAGTGATCTTGGCAAAAATATTAGCCAAAAAGAAATTAATCTCAAAATCCTACGAGGCTTACCATCTGCATGGGATATGAAGGTTACGGCTATGCGCGATCACCGAGATCTAAGAATGTTGTCAACAGACAAATTATTTAGTTATCTAAAGGCATATGAGTTCGAAATGAAGGCCAAAGATGATGATGTTCATGAAGCTCGAAATGCTGCTCTAATGGCCGAACAACCGTCAACCTCCAGGTCAGTAGAAAATAATGTTGATTTTATGACTGACGAACAATTTGCTCTTTTTGTGAAAAGATTTAAAAGGTTTATGCGAAAAGGAGACAACAAAAATTCTGCTCGTGGAAAATTCATCTCTCGCATAACACAAGAAGAAAAAGTCGAAGAAAATAAGGATTTGTGCTACAATTGCCGCAAACCCGGGCATTTTAAAATAAATTGTCTGTATCCGATCGTTAGCAAGTATCAAGGCAAAAATGTTGAATCTACGCCGAACAAATCCGAAAGCAAAAGGTTCAAGCGCGACAAAAGAAAAGCTCTCGTTAGCAACGAACCAAACGAAAATGATGATTCGGAGGATTCATCATCAAGCGATGAAAGTTCATGTTCGGATGATGATACGGCGCTAGTATGCAAGTCAATTGAGTTGAGTACAAGTGAAGATTGTCTTATGGCTCTTGAAGCAGAGGAAGAAGAGGTAACATCTAATTCTTTCAATTTTGTTAATTCTTCTTTTTCTCGTAAATCTATTGACAATCTAATGCGAGAATGTCAAGAGATTATGCTCACTCATCCTCAACTCAAGGAGCGCAATAATATTCTAATTCTTGAAAAAGAAGAAATGAATAAAAAATTGCAAGATGCTTTACTTGAAGTGAGTAAATTGAAGAATGAAAATATTCATCTTCAAGAAGAGTGTAAAGCAAGAGAGGTTAGAGAACATTATCTTAGAGCTACTATTGCTACATTCACTAATTCATCTAAAATAAGAGATAAAATGGTGAGCATGCAAAATCCATCAGGAGATAGAACCGGAATCGGTTATGACTCCACATGTTCTCAAACCCCTCAAAATCTGACTAATTCTACTCCTACTTTAAATAATAAAGTTCAAGTGGTAAAATTTGTTAAAAGTCAGAAT